CATCTTGGCATCCCCCCCCCCCCCCCCCCCCCCTGAGCAGGTTCTTCAGTTCTTTCCTTAGTGGCTCGAAGAAGATCGCTCTGGCAGAGGCGGGCGCGAGAGACAGGTTCGAGACACACCACTGCTGTTTTTTTTGTTTTTTTTTTCGAAAATGTCTCTAAAAATGTAGACGCACCCACATTAGCGCCCGAGTCTAGGCGTAGATGATGAGACGTTTGTGTTCCTAGCGGCTGTCTTGGCTCTTTTTTTTTAGTGTGAAACCGAACGGGGTAACGGCTAACACAACACAAGTAAGTGTTGCACCCTCATCGGTCATGGAAATATTGGTCTCAGTTGCAGTGTAAGGAAGATATTCAGTGTGTGGTGTTGCAAGGGACAAATGTAAAACTTAGAAATCAGTCTGCATGCAAATCACCGCGTCTTTGATGTTGTTGCTTTTTTATTTTGGTTTTGGGGGAAGGTATGTCTTCTGCACAGGCAGTCCGTTGGTACTACAATATAGGCACACGTTTTTCTTTCGTTCTTTCAAGGGACGAAATTTCTCGTTTTTTCCACCCCTCCCCACAAAAAAAGATTGGACGGCACGATTGGCCATCGGTGATCGGTCCTGTGGGAACAATGCTCCGTCCTCTCGAGGACGCGTGGTCAATGGTCTAACCGCTAAGACATGCAAAACATAAGAGTACGCCCCCCCCCCCCCCCCACACACACACACACAAAAAAAAACAAAAATTTTGGGGCATCCGAAGGGAGGGAATCCCCCTTCCCAGGGCCCCGGTCCGGGGGGAGCAACTAACGGGGGGAGCCCCCCCCCCCCCCCAAGGGGGGAAACCCCGGCAGCCCCCGGAGCCGCAGTAACCCGGGGGTCCCCCCCCTCTCCCGGGGGGGCAAACCCCAAATCACGTCGCTGTCACCTAATAAAGTAATCAGGGGCTTGGGGGACGAATGCCGGACACTCCCGTAATCTACCCCGCAAAAATTATTAAACAAAAATATGGGGGAAAAAATTTAAACCCTGCTTTTGGGGTGGGGGTAAGGGTTGGGAAAACGGCTGCGGGCCCCCCCCCCAAAATTTTTTCT